ACATGCTTAAAGAAATGTTGAACACCTATGAATGAACCGATACCAGAAAATTAAAACAAAAATAAAGCTGTCCCAGGAAGCAATGTCCACATCAGACAAGTTGGCATTTAAGGTTGAATAAGATCTAAGCAGTAAGAGAAGAACATTTTATAATGAGAAAAGGTATAATTTATGAAAAAAACATAATATGACACAACTTATATGTATCAAATAACACAACAGCTGAATATAAAGCCTAACCTAAACTTGTTAGGTTTTATACATGTGACAGACATATACAAAATGCAACAATAGAGGCCATTCTCTATGATCATAATCTAAGAATATTATAAATTAATAATTCAAAGATGATCTACTGGTGGCAAGGATTTAGAAAAATAGATTTTTAATAAATTGCTAATGAAAATATACATATAAATTTTATTTACATATTTTATATATATGCAATTGTATAAATATATATAAATATCTATATAAGTTTTTTGGAAAGCAACCCAACAACACCTATTAACATTTAAAATATGTCAACTCATTGACCAGCAATCTCATCCTAGAAACCCATCCACAGGAATAAAAGCACTAGTATGGATGGGTACAAGTACATGGATTTTATTGTAGCATTTTTTTTTGATAAGAATATAAAAATGAAGAAAAATGAATGTCATCAGTAGGGAATGATCAAGTAAGTCATGCTACATTTGCAGTATAATATACTATACAGCCATTCAACATAATAAATTAGAGCTATATTTATTGACTCAAAGGAAATTCCATCAGATACTGTTGAGCAAAAAAGGGTATAGGCAAGTATATGCAATATATAGTTTCCTTTTTGTATAACGGTGAAAAATAGCTCTATCAATGTGTGTGTCCCGATGCTCACATATGTGTGTGCATGTATATATTTGGTTAAATGAGCATGGAGAAAATAGAATGGGTTATGGGGAGCAGGTGGACTAGAGAGGTGTTAGGCGAATGTGGATGGAAGATAAGAAGGGGGATCGAGGGCAAAATTCATTTTAAGTAAAATATAGTTAGGTGTGTATTTTATGACTCAGAGACGACCATGATTTCTTATTATATGAGAAAAAACTGTTATGAACCAAAGTATAGGCATAATTCTGTTTCAGTTAAAAGTCACTGCTTATCTGTGTCTGTGTATTTGTCTATCTATTTGCCTTCTATGTGCATTTGGGAGAGCGAAGAAAGTTGAAGTCAGGTTTATGGTTGAAAAGAGGAACGAATGGCTATAAAATCTTAAGGTCAAAGAGAAAATGGTAAATGATTAGCTGTGAGTCACAGTAGGGAAGGAAAACTCATAGAGGAGATTTTTGAGTCTGGGTGGCTTGGCAAAATAGTGAAAAGGAATAGGAAATAAGGGGAAGGAGTCCTTTAAGAGGAACGAAGTTTGGTTTTATTTTCATGTCTAGCCCTGGGGTGTTAGGAGGACTTCCAGTGTCATTGAATGGTGGTGGGGGAAGTATGAAAGAAAATCATGGAATAACATCATGAGTCGCTTATTTACTTATAGTTTGTTTCTGTACACTTCATTTGACTATCTACTGTGGACAAGTTTTGTAAGCCTTTAAGCAAAAAGAGAAACAATAAAGGAAAAACACTCATACTCATGATTATATAAGACTGAAAACCACATCTTACACACACACACACACACCTCAAAGAAATTAGAAGGCAAACTGCAAACAGAAAAATATTTTGAGCCTGTGTGCCAGGCAAACAGTTAACTTCTTTGATATGGAAAGATAAAAAATCTTAAAGAAAATGTTAAATATTCCAACTGAAAAAAATTGGGGAAATGGCAACTTACAACATAAAAAGCATATGTGCTCAACAAACATAAAAGTGTTCAGATATTTAGAATTACAGGATTGCAAATTAAAATAACTATGAAATGTTATAATTTTGTCTACCAAGGAGGCCAAACTGAAAAATACAATGACAGTCAGTTTTGGCAAGAATGTGGGTAAACTGGATACTCTCATACATTGCTGACTGCAAATTGAATTTTGGTAGTTCTTTGTGTGACTCTTTAAGTGTTTGATTTAATATTCCTGATCTTAGATATTCATTTGTGAAAATAAGCACAGATAAATACTAAGATTTTTTTTTGTGAAATTGTTCAGTATGATGTAAATATCCAAACAAAGGGGGCTGGTTAAGTAAAAACAAATGATATACTGTGGCACAGTGATTAAAAATCAGACTTTGAGGAATATTTAATAATGAGACAATATAAGTGTAAAAAAGGATGAGAACTACATATACAGTATGATCATAATTTGATAAGAATTATATTAAGTACATATGTATATAATATATAATTGTTACATAAGGTATATAATTAGATGAAGTGTACATTAATAATTATCTAATATATATGTATTTACTATATACATTTTTATAAATAAGAAGGTAGGTTTTAGACCAGAGAACATTTTACATAAGAACAAAGAAAATGTTAAGGACTTTTAGAAGACTACCTCTTTGGTTGGGACTTTATTACCTAGACACACACGGCATTACTATGTTTTAAGATAAAGCAATATAAATTTCATTATGTCAGAGATTGTTCCTGGTAGGCAGGATTTCTAACATGGTTTCCCAAAGAAGTCCAAGCACCCATCCCCAGAAACTGTACACACCATGAGAGAGCTATTTTGGGTGCACCTAATCTAATCACATGAGCCTTTAAAGGATAGAACTTTCTCAGGCTGGTAAGCAGAAGAGAAGGCAGAAGGAAAAGTTGGAGAGATTCAAAGCATCAGGATGCATCCTGTGGTCGTTGGCTTGAAGGAGACTGCAAGGAAAGCGTGAGAAGGAAATGAATTCTGCCAACAACCAGCAAGCCTGGAAGAGGATCCCAGGACCCAGATGAGAATTGCAGCCCTGACTGATACATTGACTTGGGACTGGTAAGACTTGAAAAAGAAGAACCAGCTGGGTCACGTTTGCCTAGACTTCTGACCTGCAAAATACTTAAATGAATATTAAGTCGCTGAGTTGGTGGAGATGTGTTCCAGCAGCAATAAAAAATGAATATATTGCTCAATGTTTAAAAAGTATGTATGAGTAGAAAATGGGGTATGGTTCTTACATAAGATGTAAAAGAAGGATTAAATGCATGGGCTTTGAGGTCAAATAGAACTGGGCCTAAATTTCAGATTTTTTCTGGTTAGCTGTCTAATTTGTGCAAGTTCTTTGATCTTTCCGAGTCCCAGTTTCCAAGTCTGTCAAATGAGGTAATGACAGCTCTTTTAACAGTTTGTTTTGTGTGAGTGTGTGTGTGTAGTAAACAATATAATACATATGAAGTTTGCTAAAACACTAAAAATTCATTCTATTATTATTTCATATTTGTTATTCCAGTCACGTTATGCACTGAGAATTTAAATTTTAAGTCTTTTAAAAGGAGGCATATTTAACATGCAATTCCACTTCCTTCCCTTCTCTCTTTCTTATCTTGATTTTGACCATATCAACCTCACTATCAGTGAATTCTGTTTTAGACTCAAGGAAGCGCTTTTAACAGTCTACAGGACTCTCATCTCAATAGATTAAAGTGCCGGGCTTCTCACACAAGGGGCACCTGACCCATCGGACTCTCCCCGAAGAAGGACATTTGTTGGTATCCGCCTTCAGTTCTGCACCGTGGACTGGGAGCAGAGTCAGAAAATACAATGAAACTGTTGCTACTCAAAATGCATGAGCCACATAGACCCTGACTAGGGAGAAGAGGGTGGCTGGTTTTCTAAAGCATGCAGACATGGAGACCATGTCCTAAAACTTTTACACTATGGAAATCTCATTTAAAAAAATGTCCACAAGAGCAATTCCAAAGGGCTAGGGGATGATCATATTTAATCCGTGGACGACAGAGTGGGAAAAGAGGACCAGCAGCAAGACTTTGGCTGCTTATGGTATATGATAGATGTATACTTAAAAAAAAGAAAAGATGTTGGGTCAACCTTATGAGATTGATTAACTGATTAAGTTATAATTTAACAGTACTGGGGCGTTGAGTGGCTCAGTCAGTTAAGAATCTGCCCTTGGCTGAGGTCGTGGTCCCAGGGTCCTGCTCAGTGGGGAGCTTGCTTCTCCCTCTCCCTCTGCCCCTCCCCTTGCTTGTGCTCTCTAGCTCTCTCTCACAAAACAAACAAACAAAACAAAAAACAAAAAACAAAAAAAAACCAGTATTGAAGGTACACTATTTTAGGCCCCGTGTTAGACACTGCAGAAGAAACAAGATGAACAAGACATATTGTCTGCAAAGAGATTTTTTTTTTGTTTTTGCAAAGAGTTTTTGATCTAGAGCAGTGGTTCTCAACTGCAGATGTCTTGTCCCCCAGGGGACATTTGACAATGCCTGGAGACATTTTTGCTTGTCAAAAATGTGGAGAGGGGTGGAGAGGTGGAAGCTATTGCTGGCATCTAGTGGGTAGAGGCCAGAAATGCTGCTAAACATTTTACAAAACACGGCAGCCCCCATAACAAAGAATTATCCAATCCAAAATATCAATAGTGCTGAGACTGATATAAAATAAATCATGGACGATATGGAAAAGATAGCTCAGGTGGAAAATACTGGGCACTGACAGAGAACAGAATCTTCTAGTTTCAAGGTATTGAAACATTGGTATGAGATGCAGAGGAGTTTCTTTGAAAACTCGATCCCAGAAAAATAGCTGATAATGGAGAATCCTACCCAGATGTGGGTAGGAAAGCAGATCAGACACAGCTGCTGCTTGTAAATTGCATCCATGTGGCGTGGCCATTGGTAGAGTTCTACTTGAAGTTCATGTACTGACTGAATTAAAATTGTGGAGGATAGAACACCTTAAAGTCTCCTTCTTACAATTCTTTATTTTACCCCCATTTGTCAGGCTTTATATAAACGCTTAGATTACAGTAGTATAAGCTTACATATCCTCTGAAGTGAAAATCTGTAATATATTTTTTCCACCTTTTGTTTTTAACCCTAGGAAGCATTTCTAATAAAATTGGTCCCTGCCCTATGGACTGTGATCTCAATCTCTTAAAAGAAGACCACGAATTACACAAGAAGGTAAGATGAAAGCTGTAGACGTTGGCTTTGGAAAGACCATGAAAACAGTAGCCCCTGATTATTAACTATGATTTCTTAAAATATATTTACAGGTAGAAAGTAATTTGGTCTTCAAAGCAGGTTTTGAAGTGTGGGACATGCTAAAGCAGCTGACGTTTGTGAAATCAGTAATGCCAATAAATTTTTATTACATCCGAATCAGACTTCTTTAAGCTGTTGAAGACTTTAGTTAAATTAATCAGTCTACAAGACTCTTTCCAGCTTGGGCAGGGTGATTAGAAAATGTGCTGATTGTACTGTGCTGTATTTGGCATGATCACGGCTGCCATGAAGTCTGTCCAGAAACTATCTTGATAAATTTATATAAATTACATATCCTGGCTTTTCAAATGTTGGCTAAGTTAATTTTACCGGCATTACTGGACCCAGTTTTTAGATATTCAGCCATTTTCAAAATCCATATCTACGCAGAGCAAGTGACTTTGGGTTTTAAGTATTCAGAAAATTTGGCCTAGCGAGAAAGTTGAAGCGAAAGGATTGTCCTCCAGTCCCTGCTTTTTCCCATACAAATTACTTGAATCATTAATTTTCCACTTTCCTGACTAAATAAATATAGGTATATAGAACTAACTTTTTCTTAAGATTTTTTTTTTATTTATTTGTGAGAGAGAGAGCGAGAGCAATAGCACAAGAAGGGGTGGGGGAGGGCAGAGAGAGAAGCAGACTCCCTGCTGAGCAGGGAGCCTGACATGGGGCTCGATCTCAGGACCCTGGGACCATGACCTAAGCCAAAGGTAGGCACTTAACTGACTGAGCCACCCAGGCGCCCCTAGAACCAACATTTTGCCTTACACTCAAGACAGACTTTAAAGTCAGTCTTGTTTTCATCTCTAAATAGTGGGCCACCATCTAATCAAATAAATGACTAAGTTTTTAATGTCTAGATGACCACTACAGCATTCAAAATTGCTATGTTTCTATCACAGTTTATATTAAAAAAGGAAACTTAGGAATCAAAACTTTAGTGAAATTTGTACCGATGACGCTTGAACTCAGTATTTACTGAGTGCTTGGATATGACTAGGTTCCAGGAAATGTTCTCAGTCCTCTGCATCAAATAACTCGTCTCGTTCTCATAGCCAACTAATGGGACAGATACTACCATTATCATCATTTTCCCTATTTTACAGGGGACACAAATAAGACGTGGGAGATAGAATGAGTTAGCCAAGATAACGTTGCTAATAAGTGCATAGCTGGGCTTTGCATCCAGACTGTTTCTGGACTCCATATTTGTATTCATCGTGAAATAATACTTCAAAATAGTTGCGAATTATTTTCTCCTTTTAGCTAGGTATACATCGTGTCCTACTTCTTGGGTCGTATACCTTAATTTAAGGGCTAGGATAAGGAAACAAAGAACAACTTGCTAGGAAGGGAAAGGGAAAAAGCTCATGTCCTTTTACATATTACATATTAAGTACTATTATGTATTTTTTTAAAAAAGATGTATTTATTTATTTATTTTAGAGAGAGGGAAAGAGTATAAGCAGGGGGAGGGGCAGAGGAAGAGGGAGAGAATCCTCAAGCAGATTCCCACTGAGCACGGATCCCAATGTAGGGCTCGATCTCACGACCCTGAGATCATGACCTGAGCCGAAATTAAGAGTCAGAGGTTTAACTGACTGGGCCACCCAGGCATCCCATGTATTACGTATTTTATGTATACTCTTTGGGACACTGAAGAAAAGGTATACACATGAGACTCCCAGGATATTGTGGATCTAATATTAGTCTTCTAAGTACCTTTGTGAATTTTCATACTAATTGTTGAATTTAAACTTTGGAATTAGAAAAAAGGCTTAAACAGGTAAGGTGAGAAAGAATACAATCATCCAGAAGAGCTAAAATTCTTCCCTGTATTTTCTGGGTTGACATGTTCAATTAAGGAATTCTTTTTCACTTTATTTTTTTTTTAAGATTTTTATTTATTTATTTGACAGAGAGAGAGAGAGAGAGACAGCGACAGAGGGAACACAAGCAGGGGGAGTGGGAGAGGGAGAAGCAGGCTTCCCACCGAGCAGGGAGCCCAATGCAGGGCTCCATCCCAGGACCCTGGGACCATGACCTGAGCTGAACGCAGATGGCTAAGGACTAAGCCACCCAGGCGCCCCTCTTTTTCACCTTATTTTTAATATTATATTTCAAAATTGTGAGTCAATTGCTTGGGATATTATGCTCTCCCCTGTGGGTTAGCCACTTTGGGAAGGTGTCTTAACTGAATAGCTTCAGGAAGAAACTTGTTCTTGTCAGGAATGTGTCTCAGTTAAGTCAGTGGTGTGAAAAGAGAGACAGCACACACCCATCACCCAGAATCAAGTGACTGAATGCTGTGGACCAGAGCAGTTATACCACCTACTAAACCTCAATCTAAGACTCTTGACTCCAACTTAAGAGTTTTCCTTTTCCCCTCATCTTGGCATGCTTACTGGAGATTAATTTGGATATTCCATTGATATGAAAGAGCTAACCTAGGCAGTTTCCAGGGTGGCTGTGGGCAAATGAGGTTAACGTTCAACTTCACAAGGCATGCATCAGTTTTCCAAATAACACATGACCAGAGAACATTCGAAATTTGTGGTTCCAAGAGGCCAGAAATGCTAGCTCTCCTCCAGAGGGCAGAAAGAGAAACCTGGTGGTGGTGGTGGGGGGGGTTGTTACTCAATTTAGAGGTCTCTCTAGGTAAATTCTAGGCAGCCAGGGATACCTTATTTCTTCCTGGGCATTGCTAATGGAAAGCCTATCTTGACAAATTCTCTGGTACACATATCATATATGAATTCAAGAAAGAGGAAAGAGTATTCTTGCTGGATGGCCTCAGGATTTAGGGTGGTTGAATTTGGAGCTATGATTTTTTTTTTTTTTTGGATGCTAATAACAGCATAGATGGGATTGAACATGATGTCATGTTTGTTTGCTTTGATATTTCAGATGCACCTGGTGTTTGTTGTTGTTATCTCTGACTTATAGTTCTGTATCTTATGAACACAAGCCTCTTAGCAGAGTGCCTCTACCCCAAACCTTCCTCCGCTGCCTTTTTAAAAAAATGGTGTATCTCGTGGAGCAGGCATTAAAGCGTCCACCACTGCTCCCTTCTGATCTCCCCAGGGCAGTTCAAACACATTTGTAATCCTCAGGATTCATCCTTTTATTCACTATTTCCTTTTTCTAAGGCTCTCTCCTTTGATGAAACAATCCCCTTGCTCTTCATCTGGCCAGATGGGCAGATGAACAGTGCTCCTCAGAGCCACGCACAAAGACCCTGTAAGGAGTTTGGGGAAAAATGCTGCCACTAAGTGGAGTTCTGTTGTGCTAATGCTTTTCCAATGCACTGGTATCACTGGCCTGTGAACTTCAAGCTCCTTTCTCCACCCAAAGACTTACCTTCTCATCCGTCCCGTCATAGACACCCTTCTCCACTAGCTGATTGGGCCATGAAAGGAATTCTGGGGAAGGAGCAAAACCTCTGAACACGGAGATAGGGACCCTGGGCTTTGCTTCCTATCCTATAATGCAATTTAATGAGCTTATCATGTCAAGAGTTGGACAACTTTGAGATTTAATATAAATCTTCCTATAATATTTTCTACTTAACTGCTTCATCGTAATGCTGTAATAAAAGCAAAAGAAAGGATGTGAAGTGTTCCATTGATTGCCTGGGCTCTGTAGTGCATTGTGCCAGATATTGCTTATATCCTTAATATTCTAAAGTATTTTAAGTGCTCTCCGCCCCATACCCTGAAGAATTTTATAGTTATTATCGCCACAGATTCTTGTCTCCACAAGAATCCTGTGATCTATGTAGCACAAATACTATCTCCATTTTTCAGGTTAAAAAGCTTAAGCTCATGAACTTTAAATAATCTAAGTTTCCAAAAAAGTGAGAAGACTTGAATGTGTGTCTTCTGACCATCACTTGTCGACCCGTTTCACTACAACACCATGCACTTTAATTTTTTAAAATTCTTTAGAACACTCTTGGCTGTCATTTTGTGTTGTGTTTGAAAGAATGCTCATTCATTGCTTTCTAAACAATGTTGCATTTTTTAAAAATTTGATTTATTTATTTGAGAGACGGAGAGAGAGAGAGAAAGCATGAGCTGGGGGGAGGAAAGGAGAGGGAGAAGCTGACTCCACACTGAGCAGGGAGCCAGACTCGGGCTTGATCCCAGAATCCTGAGATCATGACCTGAGCCAAAGGCAGACAGCCTATTGAGCCACCCAGGCGCCCCATAAACACTGTTACATTTGAATGGCAATTTCCACAAACCAAATTTTTAGTTCTCAAACTTGAAAATCATATTCTGAATTTCAGCAATTTATATTTCAGTATTTGCTGTTGATTTCTGTGATGGATTAGGGGATGAGTAGACGTACACAAAATATATGAAATGTGATGTTCCAGAACAAATTTTGCACCACCAATTCTTAAAGTATAGATATTCATACTTCTAAAGACATTGCTTTTGGAATAATTTCTTTTTAGTGATGATGTTCTTTGGCTTCAGGGTACAGACAGGATCTATTTTCTTTTTCTAATGTTGATGATATCCTAGTTAAAGCATTATTTCTCAGGTATAGATTCAAGATACAAATCTGTGGTTGGAGACTTGTTTCAGTTCCTCTCTGTGAGTAGGCTCCCAAACCCTGGTTCTTACTTGGGAATTTCCCTGCCCATACTTACCTCCTTTTTGGATTTAAACGTCTTATTTCTTTGTGCTTTTCCTTCCTTTTGGGGCTCATTCCTTTGGACATAAACTAATTTCCATGACTTTCCGTCTTCTAAAACACCTATTTGAAGAGATTTTTATCACATTAACTTAGATATTCTTTGAAGGAAACCCAAAGGTTCAAAAAATATTTGTTATTTGTAGAATTCATGGTGTTTTTCTTTGTGATTTAGCAACTGGAGATAAAGCTCGTTGTTATTGTAACAGAAG